ATGCACTTAGAACTAACTTTAAAGAATTCCTTATTTCTTGAGTGACACTAGTATTAATTCCTAAAGGTATACTTTGTAGAATAAATAAAAAGAGAAGCACTCTGTCAATAAGAGGAGGTGACCCTTGTCATTGCCTTCTACTGGCTTGATCTATCAGGGATTCTAATGTTTCTTGAATGAATGGATGGATCAAATGAGATAGTACATGTAAAGTGCCTAGCACAGACAGCCTAAATAAATAGTAGCTATTATTAATAATGAACAAATTGGAATGTGTGTTTGTCACTCACAACTAAGGTGACTTAGATATTAGCATAAGGTGATTTTTCTTTTGGCCTGAAAAAGTAACAAATTATTCTGTATATCTTTTGATTTTGAAGTACCTTTTTTTCCTTTGAGGTGTGGGATTTGAACTAATAGCTTGTCACTTGCTAGGAGGTTGCTCAGCCACTTGAGCCACACCCAGCCCTGATGTACCTGTTTTTATATTTAAAGCATTTCAGATTATGACATCACTTAAGCATCTGTCAGACTTTTAAAAAATGTGATGTATGGGTATAGTAGTTGATTCAGGACATTTAGTCATAGTCCCGCAATAAAGAACAATTTAACGTAGCTGGGTGCTGGCGGCTCACCCTTATCATCCCACTTACTTAGGAGACAGAGATCAGGATGATTGCAATTCAAATCTAGCCTGGGCAAATAGTTTGAGAGACTATCTTGAAAATAACCAATACAAAAAAGGGCTGGTAGAGTGGTTCAAGTAGTAGAGCCCTTGCCTAGTAAGCATGAGACCCTGAGTTCAAACCACAGTGCTGCCCCCCAAAAAATAAGCAAAATAAACCCAGTTTAAGTTATATTTATGTACAAAACACCATGCTCAGTGAATGAGTTGTAAAGAAATGTAAGAGATGGTTTCTGTACTTAAGGTATTTGCAGTGTGATTAAAAAGACAATAATCTACATATGGAAAGTTATGGAAAAATACAGATTACTGTTTCATTGACCTAGTTTTCCTATCAAATCAGTTTCTTTTCAGTCTCTTTTCCTTTCTACTTTACATATTTCTTTTATATATTAAATATACCCTTTTATACCTGCTTTTTAGTATTTAATTCATAGTCTCCTTTTAGAAGCTCCCCTCTTACACAGATCTGTAATTGTACAGGTTAGTACAATACTCTGGCAATGAAATTCAGTTCCTTATCATTTTCCATTTCTAAAAGTATTTAACTGTCATGTACATTTTATTTTTCAAGTATGTAAGCATACTATTTTCGAGGAAGGGATAGGGAAAGTTTGGAGAAGTTATGAAACTTTATTAGTTGACAATGTAGTTATTTTACTATTTGAGCTTCTTACTATAACTTTGAAAGGATTGGTGGCATGGACTTAGCAGCTGGTCTTTCGTTCACGATCAAGGTTTCTAATCCTTCACCTTTTCACTGAATTTAGATGTCTTTATATGATGGGACAAGAGAGGAAATAGAAATTGTTAAACATATGGAAATTTTTATTAAAATCTTTGATTGCTGACCTCCTAAGAACAGTTTTAGCTGTTGTAAATTTCTGAAGTGTATTTTTGAATTATTAACTTTTGTACAGGGAAATATTATAGCTGTCACATCCATGTGTCCCCATGTTTCTCTTTAAATATGTTTTTCTTGTTATTTATATTTGATTTTCTTTCCTTTTGTTGAAATAAAAGGACTCTGGATAGGTTCTACCTGTGGGGAAGGCCTCTCCTAAGAGTTTGATTTTGCCCATCATTGTAACCATTTACAGGTCACAGAGTTTACAGGTATTATTATGGAGTACATGTTTTCTCCCTATTGACCTTCAGATATATTAGATGAGAGAGAATACTTTTAAATTTATTTCCTAGTTTCCTAATAAGGTCTCCGTAAGTTTAAAGAGCAAAGGGAAAAGGAAGACACCCTTATTAAAGATAAACCTGCTAATTTGTTAGCAGGAGAAACACTTAGAGTTGTAAAGTTACTTAATTTCACTCATCTAATAGTTCCAAGAGTCCTAAGTTAAAGAGTTTTAGAGAAATGTTATAAAGTCTTAGCTTATTTAACTGAATTGGAGGAACACTTTGACTTTCTGTCATTGCTAATATTTGGAGCCTTTCTTTTGTTTTATTATAGTATTTAATGTTACTGATATTGGTACAAGTAATTCTCTTTTGTTATGATATGTTTTTTGAAGCCTCTGTCCTGTAGACACATTCAGTTTTTCCATCTTCAAATATGACTATGCCAAATCCTTTAAATGGGAATTTCAATAGAAGATAATTTCTGAAGAAATAATAATTCTTTAATAGTACCAAGAAAAAACAATCAACTTCCTTAATTTCTGTTTTGGTTTTTTTTTTTTTTTTTTTTTTGGCAGTACTGGAGTTTGAACCCAGAGCCTCCTGCTTGCTAGGCAGGTTCTCTACCACTTGAGTCATTCCTCTAACCCTTTTTTGTGTTGGATATTTTTGAGATAGGGTCTTGTGAACTGTTTGCTTGGGCTGGCCTAGAACCTCGATCCTCCTGATCTCTGCTTTTTGAGTAGCTAAGATTACAGATGTGAACCACCGGTGTTCAGTTAAACTTTATTACTATTTATTTTTGGTGGGGTGGCAAGCTACTACCTAACTACCCATTGAAAACCAACTTCTTGAGGAGTCTAATTTGAATTCATACATGGTATAATTACTTTGGGTCACTTTAAAACTTAAAAAAAAACATGTTTATAAAATTAGCTAAGGTTTAAAATTTTTTTTGAATTGTGGTGTAAAAGACAAATTGAAGTACCTAAATAAAGCTGTTCTCCTGGTAAAAGTTTTCTGAAACTAGTTCTCAATCTTTTGCTTTTGTTAGTATGGCTACTAGCACATTTTGAGATAAATATTCATTTGTTATTAGTTCCAAATTCACCCACAAAGTTTTACTTTAGTTCTTAAAGTTTTACTATGAAACTGGATAATACCATTCATTTTTATTTGAAAAGAATTATGTGAAATATTTATATAATTAATGTATGAAAGTGTGTAAGTTATACACTAAGATTTGTGATGGGGTGATTTATTTAATATATTTCTATATTTTATTTAATTATTTTTTTTTGGTCATGAAAAGGTATCTTAAAAGGAGTGAGTGGTAAACCTTAAGTGAAATTAATGTTGAAAACTTACATCAAAAAGGTTTTCCAAGCCTTGAGAAACAACCACTTTAATGGATTTACTTTATGCTTAGATAAAATGTATCCATATAGTATAAAATGATGTAATTAATGGATTCTGGTGTTTTAATTTTGAAGTGAATTTAACAGCAATACAGGGAAGAAAAATAATGAGTAAAAAGATTGAAGGTATGAAAAAATAAACTACTTCTGCTACCTAGAGTTACCTTAATTCTCTTTGTATGTTAATTAATTAATGTGATCACTTGAAAGACCAAAAAAGAATTCAGTCAAAATATCATGATATAATTTGCATTCCATTTTCTCTGTGACCATAAGTTGTTAGATATTGCAACATATGTAACATAAACCACATGTCAGCTGTTTCCTGCCTCACTGTTGACAAGAGCCCCATTCATAACTCCTCTTTTTATCCTTTCAGTGAATAAGTAATTATTCAATATAGAAGGCAGGATATTTGGAACTGGCTATTTAATGTGGCAGCACTCTGTAATGAAATCTGCTGTTACTGGCAACTTGAGAGGGGAATGTAACAATTCCGGCATGGCTGTAACTTTATCTGCTTTGACTGACTGTTTATTTGGCACATCAGTGAACCTTTTATCCCAGTGAGTGACAGCTCCAGAAGGGTCACATTTACATCCATTCTATCATGTATTGTAATATTTAATGGCGGACAAGGTTGAGCGAGACTGGGAGTAATTTGAACTTGCTTTTCCACTGAGTTGAGGCTAAAAGACAGCTTGATCCCCAGTATTGTGGTGTAACATGTTATGACTTAGCATTTGTTTATGAGGCTAATCTTACTGATTACAAAAAAGGAAAAAAAAAAAAAACCCACCAACTCCACAAAACTTCAGTGAGTATTTGTTCTATTAAAGTAAAACGTTCAGAACAAGTTCTTATAAGCTAGTGTGCTGTTTGCTTTTTCCCTCTTTCACTCCTCAATTCTCAGTATTTTTCTTAAATGAAGCCTCATTCTGTCTCATTTGATGTGGTAATTGAGGCTTTGAAATGAATAGTTACTAAAAACCTGTGAGTTTTAATATGAGGTATTAAACTTACATTTTTTTTTTGAGAATTTGGAAGTAGGAAATAAAACTCAGGTAAATATTAGACCTAATTATTGATGTCCAGCTGGTGTTTTTGAGACATCTATAATTTTCAATTATGAGACTGAATTACAAGTGAAAAACTATCCTGAATAATAATTTTACTGATGAATTTGCATTCCACCACAGGTAATTGGATTTCAGATATCCTTGTTCCACACAAGCAACCTGCTTTCATTATTAAATATTAATATTTTGCATTCATTTTCATGCCTTTACTGGATGAGAATTTCCTTTACTCATTTTTTAGTGACACTTGAGGTTCAACTGGCTATATCTATTCTTTTAAAACTATATATGAAATGATTTTTAAAAACAATATAATATTTGAATGAACTATACTTTGAGCAAAACTATTCTAAACTATAGTATCATAAGAAACCTAAGAAACATTAAAACTATCTTCTACTTTGTCATATCATTTTAATAAGTTATGAAAGAGAAAGGTTAAGATGTACTTAAAATATTTGAAGTTGTGAGTTAGAATGATATGTTAGAAATAATGCAGATATGGAAGCATCATTTAAAACTTTTAGAAGAGAGAAAGAGGACTAAATGTAATTGTAGGTTTTTTTCTTTAATGACAAAAATTTGACCATTGTGATCCATTACTTATAGTTTCTGTTCTGTGAGAGGTTTGCTAACATTTTGTATAGCAGTCCAGATATTAGTTATCTTTTCTCTCCTTTCTTGTAGAACCCTGGCCACTGTTCTCGGTGCTGCTGTTCTAAACAAGGAAACAGTCAGGAATCTTCAGATACCATGAAGAAGAATCATGAGGGAAAATCCAGGAGACCCAAAATATATTTTGGGACACGCACACACAAGCAGATTGCTCAGATTACTAGAGAGCTTCGAAGGACTGCGTATTCAGGGGTCCCAATGACTATTCTTTCCAGCAGGGATCATACCTGTGTCCATCCTGAAGTAGTCGGTAACTTCAACAGAAATGAGAAGTGCATGGAATTGCTGGATGGAAAAAATGTGAGTATAGTCACTGTGTTTTAGAGAAAAAAAAAAGGCTAAAGAGCTTCAAATTACTTAGTGTTTTATATGTACTTTTCTAGTGATACTCAACTAATTTAATTAATCAAATTAATTATTAGTATTGGTGTTTTTTGAAAAATAATTTTCTATAAGAAAATCTTTATTCAAGTTTAAATTTGTAGGTTTTGACCCTGAAGCTTGCAGATAATTAATCCCTTGAAGTTAATTTCCACTGTAGTCATATGTCATCTTACTTTTTCCTTTTAAATCTTTTACCAAAAATAGTCAGATGTAGATGATGTCATCATATGAGGAGATAAAAATGTTTTGACGGTGTATAGCAATTAGATCTAATTAACATTTTTAAAAATTAAAACTTCAAAAGAAGATAGTTTAGTTAGACTGTCTCTTTGAGTAAACTTGCAATTGTTTTTGCCATGTTCTTTTGAGTGAGAAATGTATCTTGGCCTTTTGGCTAAGATCAAGTGTTGAGTGAGAAATGTAATGATTATCCTGTCTCAATTCTAAGTGACACAAAATTCTCTTTTAAAAATTATTAGTATATACATGTATGGAAATATCACAATGAAATCACCCACATTGTACAATTAATATGTTTTAATTAAATTTTGGGAAAAATGATTAGATTGTTAATCTTAAAGAATGTAATGGATAGTTTTGAAAATTTCTAGGGAAATTAGAATAGTATGAATATAGGTAGAAATAGAGAAATCTTTTTAACCAAAAATATGGATTTTTAATATTGTTTTAGTTAGTATTATTTTGGGCATCTGTGTTCCAGTATAACCAATTTACTCTAAAGTTGAAATTCCTTTTATGAAATTGTACTAAGAAATCATTGGTGAACCAGTATATGAAATGACCAGTGATATTTTAATTTATTTTGAAAACTTTTTTAAAATTTCTCACTAGTAGATTATCAGATTATTTTCTATAGAGTCAATTCTGTAGAAAAGACAGCAGCACTTAAGAGTCATTTCATTGATATATCACTTCCTACCATAGAATGTGAATTAATTATTTTGTATTATGCTTTTCTTAGTGCTTTTTTCTTATTAGATGAGAATCTACTCAAGCTTTATTTAGGAATATTCAAAAGATATTTTAATAGATATTTAAGCAATAGTATAAGAGAGATTATAAAGTGTAAGTATAAGGGATTCCAGTGGGAAAACTTGAATGACTTGTTCAGATCCAGGATGAAAATACAGAATTCCTGAATCAAAACCACTGTTGAAATTCTGTAGTCATTTATTTCCCTGTAACTTTTTCCTACTAACTGAAGAATTGTGAAATTCTTTCACTGTATATGTTTTTAATGTTCTTTTCAAGGAGAGATGAAAAGTCAAATGCTAAAGAAATAAAGAAAACATCTCTTCATGGTAAAATTACAAACAAAAGTATGTGTCTTTCCATTAGTGGCTAACTTTTTTTTTTTTTTGCTGGCACTGCCATTATGTTTTTATCAAATTTTTTGTTTGAAAAAAATAACTGTATTTGTAAAAAGAAAGTACATACATTGATAAAAGCAATTAAAATTAAAGATTATGTATTGAAAGCAAATAGTCTGATTTTATATAGTCTTCTGGAATCCTGCAATGCTGTTATATTTTTAATTGATCTTTCCTTCTAAGCTTGAACCGTGTAAAAATAATTTAATGAACTTTAGAGTTTGGAATTTTTCATTGCCCTTAAGTGAACAAGCATTTTATTTTTAGTATTAGTGATATAAATACTTGTGATTTTTCTTGACCTAATTCTGCCTCTGAATGCTTACCTCTTGGGCATACTCCAGCATTGTTTTTTCTTGTTCCCAAGCCCTCAGAGTAATTTGGTATTGTAATGAGGGTCAATTACAAAGTCACCATAGGTGTCTATGTTTACTGTGGCTGAATTACCAAAGCCAAAATGATAAATAGATAACTTGACAGTTTGAGTGAAAAGAGTTTAAAGTGTGATAACGCTTCAATTGACAGACTCCCCTCAGGGTTATGTTACACTGCTAAAATGGATGAGCTTTTCTGGTTTTGCTATCAGCCTGTACAGGGCTGTCATTCTGAGTACCCTTTAAGTGTAAACTTTCTGATTTTTTGGCTTGATTTGAAGGCACATGTGTTTTTGTTCACTGTTTCTTTTATTAAAGTGCCCTTGTACTGGAAAAGTACGCACTTGTCTTTTAAAAGTTAATTTTTGTTTCAATTAAGAGAAGTGTTTTGAACTAGAGTCAGAAATGACAATTCTTAAAAAAAAAAAAAGAGATATAAAGTAAATGTTTTTTATTAAAATGAGATTTAATAGTTCAGAGTAATAGATTCTGAGCACTCCCAGTGATTGTTTCATACAAAGATAAGCTTTCAGAATTGCATGGAAGATGTTTGGAATGGAGAAATGGTGAACATCATATTACTAAAGCGGGCTGTATCAGACTCAGCATGAAAGGTAATTAGTACATTTCCACCTGTCTTGGGATTCTAGAATTGCAGAATTTTAGAATGGGAAGGAACTGCAGAGATGATTCAGTCAGTGAATCAGACAAAATCTTAAAAGGCTTCTGGTTCAACTACTCTTTTGATGCTTTGTCACATGAGAAAAATGGGCCCCGAAGTATGCCCAGTCAGACACGCAATTAGCAAGAAAAGACGAACTAAGTTGTCCAATTCCCCATTCCACTGTTACTTTGATTACATTAAAAACAAAAATGTAACATTAAATTATGGGGAAGTTAACAGTATGTAGGATTAAAAAAAGTAGTAGATGTTAGACAAAGTAAATGAGAGTAGTATAAAAAATGAACTTAATAAGTATAATTAGGTGAGCCCTTTCTTCCTAATTATTTTTATTACTTTGGAGAAGCAGCAGATAGTCTCTCTGCACATAGCTGAATGCAAAGCTTTAGGAGAACTAATCTGTAGCTGTTCACATCTTAACTTTTGGTTTGCTGACATTTTGTATAAGTTATTAACCTTTTATGGCTTCGTTTCTAGCAAATTCTAGGTATATTGGTGTATATAATGTTTGTATGTTTTGAAAACACAGATTTTTCTTTTGGATAATTCATAGAAAAAATAGAGATACATACACATATACATTTTACTTATTAAGGATAAACCAAGAAGGATAAGTATTTTTACTTCAAAATCAGATTTAATTTTTTATTGATACACGGAATTAATAAAATAAAAATGACCCATTGTTCCATCACTTAATTAATTTTGGAGACCCTTTCTCCAAAAACAAAAAGTAATCTATGTACATGGTTAGAAGATTAAAATCTTAAAATGAAGAGAGAAATTCTGTCTTTCTAGCTCTTCTGTCCTTTGAACCCTTCAAGGAAACTACTGTGAAGTTTTATGTGTATTTTGTGAGAACATTTGGAAACTACACTTTGTATAGTTTATGTGTATTTATTCTTTAGAAAGCTAGATTACGTGAATTTAGTCACTTTGTACATATTCAATACCTATTTTTCTCACTGAATGTCTTGAGAGAGCCTGACACATCAGCACATGAAGGAGTATAGCGTTTGTATGAATCTACCATAATTTATCTAACACCTATGCTGTGGGTAGTAGACATTAGGTTTATTTCGAGTTTTTTGACTGTTAAACATTGCATGTATACATATTCCCATTAAGGATAAAAATTAAAATTTTGAGTTTTTGAGAAATTGCCCATGCACTTCTGCTAGAAGTTTATATTTCTACTAAAGGTGTGTGTTTATACTTCAAATTTTGAACATTTTGTTTATTTAGTTTTTATTTATTTGTTTAGTTTTGCTGTGTAGCTCAGATTGGCCTGGAACACTCTATCCTCCTGCCTCAGCCTCCCCTGTGCTAGGATTACAGGTATGCACTGCTACATCTGCCTAATTTTACATGAAAGGGTATATGAGACACTGTTACTAGGAAGGGTTTTAACAAACATTTTTTATCAATGCTTGTAATAAAAAGTTTACTTCTAATAATAAAATGGTTAAGGATGTTAATAGGTAATGTGAAAGATAAATAGAAATTACTGGTGAGCCCCTTTAGGATGTTCATACAAAATAAGGTTAAAACCTTGCTAGAATTGGGTGTAGTGGCACACACCTGTCATCTCAGCTATGTGGGGAGCATAAACAGGAGGATTGTGGTCCAGGCCAGCCTGGGTAAAAACTGAGACCCTATCCCTAAAATAACTAAAGCAAAAAGGGTGTGGCTCAAGTAGTATAACACCTGCCTAGCAAGCACATGACCCTGAGTTCAAATCTCATTCAGCAAAAACAAAGACCTTGCTAGAAACTGTAAAAATGCAAATCAAAGCAAGATTCTTAGTTTTTTTCCTTTAGCATAGGCAAAAGTAAGAAAAGATAGTATTGGTGGGCACGGTGGTGCTTGCCTATAATCCTAGCACTCAGGAGTCTAAGGCAGGAGGATCTTGAGTTTGAGTCCATCCTGAATTGCATAGTGAGACCCTTTCTCAAAAAATGTGTATGCATGCATGTATGTATGTATGTATGTGTGTGTGTGTGTATATATATATATATATATATATATATATATATATATGTATGTATGTATGTATGTACTTAGTGTTTCTGAGGATGTGGGAATGGGTAATATTAAATGGTATACACTTTCTGGAAGTTAATTTGGTGATGTGTTTTCAAGAAACTTAAAAATACTTCATAGTCTCTGATCCCATATGCCATTTCTAAAAATGTAAATACTTAGAAATGGTTTAGCCAAGGGCCTGTAGATGTTCACTGCAGTATGATTTGTGAAGCAGAAATTATTAACAGTCTAAATGCTCAGTAAGAAGGAAACTGGATTATCAACTATGGCACATTAATTCAGTGTACATATATGAGCAACAGTGAAAAAAATGCTTTATGATAAGAGATTTTCCTGATATATGTTTAATAAAATAGGCAGAGGAAAATAAATGAATCCAGTAAAATGTTTGTTTGTTGTGGCTAGATTGTTAATCCTTAGCGCCTGAGGAAAAATTATTAAAATAGTATTTTAATATTGGGCACACTGTATCCTTACATACATATGTATAGAAGAAATAGCAATGAAATACATCAACATGGTAATGGTACATTCTTTGTATAATGGAATTATAATTTAGGTTGCTTTTGGTTCTGTTGTCTTTTCTGAATTTTTTTGTGATGATCTCTGTTCCCCCCCCTCCCCAAGATACTGTAATTTACCTTCCTTTTCTTTCCTTTCTCCTCCCTCCCTTCCAGGTTACATTTGAATACTTTGACATGACCCAAAGTTGAAAAGCTAGAAGAGGGTTAACAGAGAAAAAACTTTTCCACCCCTGTGCCTACGTCACTTAGTTCTCATCCTTAAAAGCAGCCAGTGACGCCATTGCTTTGATTATTCTTCCTGAAATATTTTATGCATAATATCACTTTAATCAGAACACAGCCATAGCAAATATAATTAAAAATATTTTTCTCAAGTTAATTTGGGGTATCTGGAGCTCTCTTTGATTTAGAGCCAACCCTACTTTTGTTTCTTTAAAATGATTGTGTTTGTAGCAGGGTGTGGTAGCCTGTGCCTGAAGTCCTAGCTGCTCAGGAGGATGAGGCAGGAAGACATTTGGGTGCCATAGTTGGGAGCAAGCTGAGCAACATAATGATACTTCATGTCTTAGGGGAAAAAAGGTTGTGATTATAAGCATGGTATAATTTGTTACCTTTGTACAATACTAGCTTCTGACTTTAATAATGTTTCTGTAACTGAGATAAACTTGTATTATCCCTTTTTCTCCAGCATTGGTTAACATTTCAGTTATGCATATTTATTTTTAGGGGAGATCCTGCTATTTTTATCATGGTGTTCATAAAATTAGTGATCAACACACATTTCAGACTCTTCAAGGAATGTGCAAAGCCTGGGATATAGAAGAACTTGTCAGCCTAGGAAAAAAACTAAAGGCTTGTCCATATTACACAGCTCGTGAACTGTTAGATGATGCCGATATAATATTTTGTCCCTACAACTATCTTCTAGATGCACAAATAAGGGAAAGTGTGAGTATATATGTAAAAATTAGAACTTTGTTTTGTACTTAGATAGAAGTGATGAATAAATATAAAAGCTTTTAGATGTTTTACTTTCTTTTTTGCTTTTTGTTGAATTACTGTTAAGTAAATTTACATGAATGTTAGAGTATTGTTAATGTATTCTCCAATATATTGAAGATATATTCAAAGCTGAATTTTAGGCCTAGACATTTTAATTTCCAGAATAATAAAATTTAAGGACATAGTAATTGAAGTGGGATTATAGCATCGTTTCTCAACCTTGTCAATGATATTTTGGGCTGCATAATTTCTTTTTTGTAGTGGACTGTCTTGCGGACTGTAGGATATATATTAGCATCGCTGGTTTTAGCTACTAGATGCAAGTAGCTTACTCAAAGTTGTGATCATCAAAAATATCTCCAAAAGCCCAGTACAGTGGCTCACATGTGTAATCTCAGCTAATTTCAGAGACAAAGATCACAAGGATTATAGTTCAAGGTCAGTCTGGATAAAAAGTTAGTGAGAACCCCCTTTCAACCAATAAGCTGGATGCAGTGGCATACTCATTATGGGAAGGGGTATAAATAGAATCGTGGTCCAGGCCTGCCCTAGAAAAAAATAGGAGACTATATAAAAAAAATAACTAAAAGGGACTGGAGGTGTGGCTCCAAGCACGAAGCCCTCAGTTCAGATCCCAGTGTCTCAAAATGAAAGCAAAAAGGGGTAGAGGTGGGCTCAAATGATAGAATGCTTGCTTAACAAGCACAAGACCCTGAGTTCAAACCCCAGTATTGCTAGAAAAGAAAAAAAATGTTATTCTCATTCATGAATAGTTCAAAAGAATTATTTAAAAACATTTCTCTGAGAAAACTGTTTTGAAGAACTTACCTTGGGAGAATATACAAAGCTATGAAAATTATGCTTTGTTAGTTTCTGAGAAATTAATTTCAGATTTTGTTTACCTGGTTCTGAGAGACATCCAGTTGTTACAGCATAAAACAAAAAGTAACTAACTTGATATAATCTTTATTCCTTTCTTTAGGTCTGACTTTGAAATTCTTATTAGCTTTCTTTTTATTTTTAAGTTCAGAATTACTAGGCATTATGTTTACTGTCCTTAATACTGTCTATGTCTTATTTGTTGCCTCTTAAATGGCACCTTCCCTGTAAACTATTGTATGTATCAGTGCTAGGTTAGTCTTCCTAATATTGTCTTTATTACATCCTTCTCTACTTAAAAATCTGTTGACCTCTTTGCTCTAGATAAAGTCCGTATTTCTTCAGTTTATATTCAAGATGCTTAATAGTATGACATAGATCTGCCTCTTCAGACTTATACTAAAATTCCCAACTTCAACCCTACAAAAATTATATTGTAGTCCTTTCTAGATACTATATCTTTACTTTTAATTATACCTCTATATTCTTTTTTGTCCTCATTTTTAAAACCTCAATCTATTTTCTGCTGTCCCACAGTTCTTTTCAGTCATTTTCAGTGCTGTGCATGTTACTACTTTTTAAAAATAACTCATTCACAGTTTCTTGTGACATTTCCTTGTTACGACTCTTTCATCTGCAAGTGACACAACCCAACTTAAATAGAACTTGAGAAAAAATACATTACTGGCTTTATTCTCAGGCAAGCTCTTTCCTTGTGGGAACAAGGATGAATGACCATAAGCAGCTAGCTAATCTAGAGAAAAGAACATGACCTCATTAATCCCTTCAAATTACTCTGGTTGGCTTAGCTTCAGTGTCATGTCCATTCCTGCACCTGACCCCAGTCACTGTAACCACAGAGGGGTAGAATATTTAATTTACCTGATGAGCTTTGGTTGTGGGTTTTATCAGTGTTATAAGAGTGGTGACGTCCCTTGATTTACAGCATCACATAGGAGTTTGGGAAGAGCAATACTCAAGGTGAAGGGTTGCAGGGCACACTTAAACCAAATAGTTATGTACTGTACTTCATTATGTCAGTATTGAGGGAATTATTTAAATCTTGCATTGCTATTTTACTTTTAAAGATTTGTATTCTGTTTTAAAATTCATGGGATTTTATATCCTGTATAGCCAGCAATATCTTGATCCCTGCTCACTTAATTCATGTTTTTTCATTGATAGTTTTGCAAATTGTTTTGAAAGTAAAAAGTATCAAACTCTATAATATAGAACTGATACGTGGTTGGCCTTGCTGTTTCAAGAATATTATTTAAGGCCTAGAATCAGTTGTGTATATAATTGCATGAGCAATATTGGCCCATAGTTTAAATTTTTAAATGAAATTTTTGCTTGCTGGTATTAAATTTTGCTGAATGTTTTATAGGAAAATTCTTTTGTCTTATAGATGGATATAAATCTGAAAGAACAGGTTGTCATTTTAGATGAAGCTCATAACATTGAAGACTGTGCTCGGGAATCGGCAAGTTACAGTGTAACAGAAGTTCAGCTTCGGTTTGCTCGAGATGAGCTAGATAGTTTGGTCAGCAATAATATAAGGAAGAAAGACCATGAACCTCTGCGGGCTGTGTGCTACAGTCTCATTAAGTAAGATTATTTGTCAGTGTATTTATGTTGCCTTTGGGTTGTTCCTTGCCAGTTAAAGTTTTTAAAAATGCCTCATGGAAGCTGTTGTCTTATTCAAAATACTATAATGGAGATAATTGACTTTTAAAAATTAATAATTGTGAATCTTTCTCCTAATTTAGCAGGATAATTTAACAGCCCCGTAGAATGCATGTAGGACATTGAGCAGAAACTGAACATGGTTTTATTTGAAATACTTTACCATTTTGGGTTGTGACTGTATGTATTGCTTTATCCTCCAATTTGAGTAGGATTCTAGTTTGATGGATTTTAATTAATGAAAATTCGGTACTTTACAATAATAGATATAGTACTAATTTTATTAAATTTTACATTAGATAATATGTCTTTTATTAGACCAAGTTGTTGATTTAGAATCTTGTTATCTTAGGGAAAAAAAACTTTTCCTGACTATACATCTCATTCGGTCTATTGTGGAATTTTTCTAATTGTGTACTTTTTAAAAATTAGAATGTTAGACAGTCTAGTGGTTTGAACATAAAATCTATACAAATTTATAGAGTAAAATCCTCCTCATCCCATCCACTAACAGCTTAGTTCCTATTCTCCTGAACATTATCATTCAGGCCCTATTTATGTATGAGCTAATATAGATATATTGCCTTAGCCCTCATTGTTTTCACTTTTATATTAAATAAAAATGAATGGAAAAATTTTTTTCCATTTCATTTCACCGTATAATTTGGAGTTCTTTCCAGTTCATGACCTAGGAAGCTTTCTTCTTCTTTCTTTTTTTTTATTCTTCTTGTTGGTAACATAAACATAAAAGGGTTAGAGGTGTGGCTTAAATGATAGAGTGCCTGCTTAGCAAGTGTGATGCCCTGAATTTAAACCCCAACACCATCAAAAAAAAAAGATAAATGGAAAAGTGTTTTTAAATTTTTTATTAGTATAATATTAATTCCCGATTAGATGAATAATTGGCAAAGATTTTTCTTCCATTCTGAGATCTGTCTCTTTACTCTGATAATTGTTTCTTTTGATGTGCAAAAGTCGTGTGTGTGTGTGTGTGTGTTTGTCTGTCTGTATGGGGCTTGTTTTACAGATGCTCTACCACTTTAGCCATGTCCCCAGCACATGCAGAAGCTTTTTAATCTGATGCTGTCTCATTTGTCCATTTTTGCTCTTTATTTCCTGAGCTGCTAGAGTCCTATTCAGAAAGTCCTTGCAAATGACTGTATTTTCAAGTGTTTTCCTATTTCCCTCTGGTAGGTTTGAAGTTTCAGGTCTTATATTAAGGTCTTGATCCATTTTGAATTTATTTTGTATGGGGTGTGGAATAGGGATCTAGTTTTAGGGATCTTCTCCATGTGGCCATCCAGTTTTCCCAACACCGTTTGTTGAAGAGGCCATCTTTGCTGAGAATCAGATGGCTGTACTTGTGGGGGCTTATTTTGGGTCCTTTATTCTATTCCATTGGTCTCCTTGTCAGTTTATGTGCCAATACCATGCTGTTACTGTGACTCTGTAATATAACTTGAAGTCAGGTATTGTGATACCTTCCACAGTGCTCATTTTGCTCAGGATTGGTTTACATATTCTGAGTTTTTTGTGGTTCCGTATGGAGTTTTAGATTGTTTTTTTCTATTTCTGTGAAGAATGTCAATGAGGATTGTATTGAATCTATAGATTGTGTTAGATTATATAGCCATTTTCACAACATAAATTTGACTGAACTATGAATATGGGAAGTCTTTTCATCTTCTAATGTCTTCGCTTTCTTTCTTCAATGTTTTATAGTTTTCATTGTAGAGGTCTTTTACCTCCTTAATTAATTTTATATGTGAGTATTTTTATTTGAGGCTGTGGTACATGGACCTGTTTTCCTGATTTCTCTCTCAGCTTGCTTATTGTTGGTATATAGAAAAGCTACTAATTTTTGTATGTTGATTTATGTAGGTTTATCAGTTCTAAGAGTTTTCTGGTGGAATCTTTTGGTCTTTTAAGTATAGGATCATGTGATCTGCAAATAGGGATAATGACTTCTTTCTTTGTCTCTTTTTTTTCCTCTTTCTTTGTCTTACTGTTTTGAGAAAGAATTCAAGCACTTGAGTGGGGAGAGTAGACACCTTTGTTTTGTTCCTGATGTTAGAGGAAATGATTGCAGTTGTTTTGTTTGTTTAGTATGGTGTTGGCTATAGGTTTGTCACATAAATAGCCTTTATTATTCCTAGTTGTTTCAGGTCTTTATCATGAAGGGATGTTGAATTTTGTCAAAGGCTTTTTTGGCATCTATTATGATCATGTAATTTTGGGTTTTGATTATATTTCTGTGCTGTATTAGGTTTATTGATTTGTGTATGTTGAACAATGAAACCAACTTGATCATGATATATCATTTTTTGATGTCTTGTTCAATTTGTTTTGCAAATATTTTGTTTAGAATTTTACATCTATGTTCATCAAGGAACTTGGTCTATAGTGTTCATTTTTTTGTTGTGCCCGCATCTGGTTCTGGTATTAGGGTAAAACCGTCTTCGTAGAATGAGTTTGGTAATGTTCCTTCCTTTTCTATTTTGTGGAATAGTTTGAGGAGCATTGCTGTTAGTTTGTCTTTAAAGGTCTGTTAGAATTTGGCAGTCTTGAAAATACCCAACACAAAAAAAAAGGGAGGGGGCTGCAGAGTGACCGTAATAGCAAACGTGAGGCCCAGTGTTCAAACCCCAGTTTCACCAAAAGAAAGAAAGACAAAGAAGGGAGGAAGGAAGAAAAGAATGGTGGAAATTCTATGATTTCTCATCAGGTTCATCTAGTCTTGGGTTCTTCTTTGTTGGGAGACTCTTTATTACTGCTTCAATATTAAATTGCTCATTATAGCCGTTTTAAGTTGTTTATATCCTCTTGTATAAATTTTGGTAGGACATATGTGTCTAGAAATTTATCTGTTGTAATATTGCCTTTTTTGTTTGTTTTTTGGAGGTATTAGGGTTTGAACTCAGAGCTTTGCACTTGCTAGGCAGGTACTCTACAATTTCAGCCACACTTCCAGCCCAGTTAAGTTGGATCTTCTCTCTTTTTGGACAGTTTGGCTAAGTGTTTGTCAGTTTGTTTATCTTTTCAAAGAACCAACTCTTTGTTTCATTGATAATTTTTTTTTGGCAGTACTGGAGTTTGAACTCAGAGGCTTGCACTTACCAGGTAGATGCTCTACCACATGAGCCACACCTTCAGCCCTTTTTGCTTTGGCTATTTTTGTATAGGATCTGATATTTATGCCCAGGCCTGGATTGTGATCCTCCTGTTTGTGCGTCCCCCATAGCTGAGATAACAGGTGTGTGCTTCTGTGCCCAACTTTTATTGATTGAGATGGTGTCTTGTGAGTTTTTTGTCAGGCTGTCCTCAAGCTACAATCCCTCTAATCTCTTCCTCCCAAGTAGCTAGGATTCTTTATATTGTTCTTTTGGTCTCCATTTCATTAATTTTTGCCCTAATCTTCATTATTTCTTTCTGCCTACTAATTTTGGGTTTCTTTTGTTTTTCTTAAGAGCTTGAGCTGCTTCTTTAAGTTATATGATTCTAGGAATTTTTACATTTCCTCTCTAATTTCTCCAATGAGCCATTCTGATCATTCAAAACTGTATTGTTCAATCTCCATTTATGTAGTTTCTCTCGTTACTGATGTCTAATTTTCTTCCATTAGTGTCTGATAAAATTCATAAAGCTATTTCATTTTTCTGGTATTTGTTAAGACTTGCTTTATGTCTTAAAATGTGATTTATTTATTTATTGGTGGTACTGGGGTTTGAACTCAGGGCCTCATGTTTGCTAGGCAGGTGTTCTACCACTTGAACCACTCTGTCAGCCCTTTTTTGTGTTGGGTACTTTTGAGATAGTCTTGAATTTTTTTTTTTTTGGTCAGAGTGGCCTAAGACCGTGATCCTCCTAATCTCTGCCTCCTGAGTAGCTACAATTACAGGTGTGAGCAACTAGTTCCTTCCTGTGATCTATTTCAAGAGAGTTCCATGGGTTGCTGAGAATAATGTGTATTCTGCAGCTGTTGGATGGAATATTTTGTAGATGTCTGATAACATCCATTTCCTCTGTGTTGCAGCTTAATTCTGAAGTTTCTTTGCTGAGTTGTTTTTTTGGTCTGGATGATCTATTGATGACAGTAGTTTATTGAAGTCTCCCACTACTAATGTGTCTGGGTATCTGTCTATTTATGTCCAATAGTGTTTGTTTTATGAAGTTGAGTACACCAGTGTTTGGTGCATATAAATTTATAATTGTTATAAATTGTAGCAATTTCAATGGGTTGTTCCCTGTATTAATATGTAGTTTCCATCTTTAACTGTTCTATTTTTGGCTTAAGTCTACTTTGAAAGATATCACTCTATCTACTCCTGCTTGCTTTCAGCTTGTACTTACTTGGTATATCATTTTCCATACTTTTCACTTTCAACCTGTATGTGTCTTTGCCAGTGAGGTGTGCAACAGTAAATGAATATTTTTTAAAAATCCATTCAGCTGGTCTGTGCCCTGCGATTGCAGCATCAGACCCCTAGCTGCGTGTTCTCTAATCCAATTCAACTCAGTTCTAACACTGTCTACCTGGAATAGCATCAAATTTCACAGGTTTAGTTGAGATCCCACAAGTTGAGAGTTCAGTCCCAAGACTGTCATTCCCTCAACTTTTGATGCCAGTTGCAAGCCTTAGGTTATGTTACCTGTGTTTCTGCCTGACCTGCTATAAATTATTTCTACAATGCCTTGCTTAGGTTTGGATAACTTGCTTGAGCAGTTCACAGAACTCAAGGAAACATTTATGTTTGCCAGTCTATTATAAACGATTTTACAGAGGTACAGATGAAGAGATGCATAGGTATGGGAGAAAGTATATGATACTTCTCTCCCTGGGTGCACCACCCTCTTCAAGCCTCCCAGGGTTCTCTGAACCCTACCCTTTGGGTTTTTGTGAAAACTTCATTGCATATGCATGGTTATTAAAATCATGTCAACTCAGCTTTCAGCCCTTCTCCCTCCCCAGAACTTGGGGAGTTGGACTGAAAGACTTACCTCTTTAATCCAATTTGATCTTTCCGGTGAGTAGGCCCCATCATTCAGCATATTAGCTTATAAAAAGACAAGGATTTTATGGATTGTATGCCAGAAATCAAATGTTTATTTCACAGTCTCATCGGAATTGCTTCCAGTCTTTTGCTAGTATATTGCTGTCATGAATAACTTTGAATCTCTGCCATTTCATATGTATGCAAAGTATGTCTATAGAAAAATTCCTATAGAATTGGAACTGTTGCGTCAAAGATTAGATCTATTTGTAATTTTGATGATTATTGTTAAATTTTAAATTGTAAGTAGGTGAGTAGGGACCTAATACATGCTTTTACCAGCAGTATTTGAGAGTATGAAAGGTTTTTTTTCCTAGTTTGCTGGGTGAAAAAGTGGTATCCTAAGGTAGTTTTCATTTACAGCTCTCTCAGTATGAATGAAATGGCTCTTAAAGAGTTTCATTAGTATCATCTACTCATTGACATCTCTGTCCTTTGCTTGTTATGGTGCTTTTCCTTAATGATATATAGAAGAAAATTCTCTCCCCCCTTCATTTTGCCATCCTGTTGTGTCTTGTTATAGAATTTTACCATTTTTATTCCACAGCATAGTTCTTTGAGTTGTCCATCGTTGCTAATTTTTTCATTACATTCGTTCATCATCCTTCCTAGTAATGTTGATATTTACTTGTTTTGTTTTTGGCGGTACTGGGGTTTGAACTCAGGGCTTCATGCTTGCTAGGCCAGCGTTCTACCACTTGAGCCACTCCACCAGCCCTTGATGTCTACTTAATTCTAATTGTTCTTGTCAAGGTCACCAGTGATCTCTCTGTTGCCAGATCCAAAGGTTATTTTTCTATTTTCTTAACCTCTTGGCTATTGTTGGTAGACATCTCTTGGATGTCTGGATTTCCTCCTTTTCATTGTCCAGTCTTCTCAATTCTGTTTGATGCCTAAATGTTGGAATGCCTCAGGACTTGGTCCTGGGACCTAGTTTTCTCCCTTTCTCCTTTCTTCTCTCTTTCACTTTCTCCCTTGCTCAGGGCCTCCCACTTGCTGTCAGGCATTCTGCCATTTGGGTCATGCCACCAAACCTTTTTTGCTTTATTTTTCAGGTAGTGTCTTGCACTTTCATCCAGGACCATAATGATCCTCCTACCCCCGGTCTTTGCATAGCTAAAATCACTGGTGTGCACCACCATGCCCAGCTTGTTGGTTAAGATGGGATCTTTCTAACTTTTTGCCCCCACTGGCCTCAAATTGCAATCCTCCTGACTTCTGCTTCCTAAGTGGCTGCAATTATAGGCATGAGCTGGCATGTCAGGCTCTGGGACCTAATTTGTTTTTTAGCTCCACATTCAGGGAAAACTAAGTTATATAACTTAGTATCATATCGTAGAGTAATAATCTATAGTTCTCTGAGCCCTGAATTTATGTCTCTAGCCCCATCTTCTCTCCCTGGATTGTGACTCTCATATTTCCAACTACCTGCTTTATATCTGTTTGGCTATCAGATAAACATTTCCACTTTAAAACAAATTCCTTCCCTTTCCTTACTTATTGTCCACTCCCTCCCCCATCTTTCCCATCTAAGGAAATAAAGCCTACTAATTCATCAAATAAAAAATCTAAATATTATTCTTGATTACTGCCTCACCTCATCCAGTTCACCAGTAAGTCTTATATATGTCACCTGTACTATGTGGCAGAAACCTATCCTTTTTTTTTTTTCCTTCACTCTGTGTCTATCATCTTAGTATCATTCCTCAACAAGAATACTGTAACAGCTTTCTAACAAGTCTCTGCTTTCACTCTTCTCTTTCTCTTATAATCCATTGTGGTTTGGAAGTTGGCATCATCTATGTGTGTGTCTGTGTGTGTGTGTGTGTGTGTGTGTGTGTGTGACTAGGGTTTGAACTCAGGGCTTCATGCTTGCAAAGTAGGCAGTCTGTTGCTTGAGCCACGCCTCTAGTCATTTTACTCAGTTATTTTTGAGATAGGGTCTTGAGAACTATTCACCCAGGCTGACCTGGAACTATGACCCTCCTTATCTTAGCCTCCCAAGTATTTAAAACTCTCTATTTAGATCCTTCCATTGAACTTTGAGTAGAATCTGTATTTCTTATCCTGGCTCAAAATGATCTGATTTCTCTTTATCGCTCTGACATTGTTCATACCATGACCCATTTTGCCCATTGTGATAGCCACATTGCTTTTTTTTCAAGTACTTGAAGCACAATTTGTTAACTACCTCAGAATCTTTGCAGTAGCTATTCCTTCTGCTTGTAATACACTTTTTTTTCCTGATCTTATCTAAATACTTTTTGCATTCAGTTTAGCTAGAATGACATAGACATTCAAATTAAAGTAGCAATTAGATAGTGTAATCTAGATTAATATAAATCTAACTTATTTTCATTATATGTATATCACTACCTGAGATTTACTTATTTATATATGTTTCTGTGTTTATTACTGTCTCCCTTAAATAAACTGTAATATCCATGAGAATAAAGACCTTGCTTACTTTATATACTGCTATAATTTCTACTTAGAACAACCTCTGACACAAAGTGACGACATAGTCAAAACAGTTACTGAACATATGAGGGTATGTGTGTGTATATATTATAATGAGTGTTTATATATTTTCAAATAATCCAGTTTTTTAAAATATGCAGTCTATTATTTATCACATCATTTTGTATTTCCTTTTATATATGCATTTGGGGTAAGCACCTAATCCCTGACTCTCAGTTGGAGAGACATTAGTTAAGTAAGCAGCAAAAACACAACTGGGAAATCACATGCTTATATTTTTTGGCGGTACTTGAGTTTGAACTCAGGGCCTTGCACATGCTTGCCAGGACCATTCCCCTAGCCTTCCTGCATGTTTCTTTCTCAATAAACACTGTTTATATATATATGTATATCTATATGTATATATAACTATGTATATATGTTTATATATATGTATAGGTACAATTATGTATACATATATATGTTTATTTTACCATATGAAAATTCATTTTTAAAAGTGTCTTAATTCATATTTCTATCCCAAGAGCTTCAAGGAATGCAGATGAATGTATGACAATAACAATTCTCTTGTTCTGTTGAAATAATGCACCTAAGGCTAAAATTTGGTTGACAGAATTTTTAAATTTATTCTAGTTGGTTAGAAGAAAATTCTGAACACCTTGTAGAAAGGGACTATGAATCATCTTATAAAATATGGAGTGGAAATGAAATGCTTTTAAATTTATACAAAATGGGCATCACTACTGCTACTTTTCCTATTTTGCAGGTAAGATTCTTTTCCTCCACCCTGAAATTTTAGTCAGTCAGAAGTGATTTAGTAGTGAGTAAATCCATAAAATAATAATAATTATTATATATTATTATATAATAAAACTAAATAATACAAAATTTTTAAAAATTAGCAATTTAGTTGTTTAAAATTTTTATTATCTAAATCTGATAATCTTTAAGTGATGGCCTGAATATATTATGGTTGGAAAAAATATCATTATTTATTTTTAAAGAAATATAACATTAAAGGGATTTATTGCTTTGTTCACAGCTAAAAAGAGTCAATATTTTTAGGTCGTAAATTAATTTTGTTAAATACAAAAGTTAAAATTTTGGAACATAAAAAGAGAAGAAAGATCTCAGCCTCCCAAGTAGCTAGGATTCCAGACATGGCACCCAGCAAGAATATATTTTTGTACTTATTTATCTAAACTAGTAAGACTTTGTTTTTGAGAGTGGTTTTAGATTTAGAGAAAAACTGAACAGAAAATTCACAATTCTCAGTATTTCCACCCCCGGCTATACATATATGTGTGCACACACACTTGCATGCACTTGTGTGTGCACACACACAAAACACATGCCCATAGTTTTTTCTATTACTGACAATAGTATAATATAGTATATTTATTATAATTGGTGAATTAATATTTATACCTTATTATCAGTTAAAGTCCATAATTTAGGATTCACTCTGTATTATATAGTTCAACTAGGTTTTGCCTAGTAATCCACCATTATGTTATCATTCAGAATATATTCTGTGTGCTGAAAATCATGTGTTTATACATCCACCACACCATACCATATTCTGCCAAAACCCTGGCGACCCCTGATTTCTTTCTGATTCCAGTATTGCCCTTTCCAGAATGCTACATAGTTGCAATGACACCATATGTAGTTTTGTCAGTCTGGCTTCTTTCACATAGCAGTATGTGATTAAGGTTTCTCCATGTCCCCTCATCCCCTGTGCTGGTGATCGAACCCAGAGCCTTGCACATCCTTTGAGTTTTCATGACTTTGTTCCTTTCCAAATACAACTTTGTCTTGATTACCATAACTTTATAGTAAGGCTTGAAGTTGGGTAGTGTCACTTCTCTGAAGGTTCTTCAGTACTTTGTTAACCATTCTAGAGTTTTCTTTTGTCCATAAAGACTTTAGAATCAGTTTGCTAATATTTACAAACTAACTTGCTGGGATTTTGTTTGAGATTGCATTGAGTCTGTAGATCAAGTTGGAAAGAACTGACATCTTAACAATATTACATCTTCCACTTTTTTGATTTTCTTTCATCAGTAAGTTTTCCCCCCAGCACTATCTAAGTATAATTGGCACATAAAAGTTGTGTATATTTAAGGTATACAGTAATAGAGCATGACGTTTTTTACATTATACATGTAAATGATAACATGTTTTCAGTTTCAGACTTATTTCACATAGCATAATGTCTTCCCGTTTCAACGGGAATTTGTCACAAGTAGCAGGATTCCCTTCTTTTTTAAGACTGGATAATGTAGTATATATATTTTTAGTCCTCATTTTCTTCATTCCAGTCATCACTCACTATGCTCTCATTTTCTCTTATGGCAGGAATTGCAGGCTTAGGGACTCTGTCTTAGCCCTGAGCTGTACTTCCTTGGGGCAGGGATGACAAGGATAATACCAGACTATTCATCTTACCTTCTTCAATGCATCTATTCTTGGATTTATTGCATGTACTGTTTCCTTGACTCATTTAAATTTTGCTTATTGAGTTTGGGGTCTGGCTCAGTGGCAGGGTGATTTGCCTTAGCATTTCTGAGGACCTGGATTTGGTCCTCGTCACTTCAAAAAACAATAATAAATTTTGCTTATCATGTAGTCATATTATTCTCATCAGAGTTATTTCCTGGATATAACCCAGACATCAGTTCTTTTAAGACCCTAGGAGAAATCATTTATTACCTTTTTATTTAGTTCATTACTTTCTGAAGGGTAGTAAATAGTATCCTAATTTCCTAAAGAAATAATGAGTCTCCTAAGTGTGTAACTCATTATTAAGGTATCTTTGAGGAGAATTTAGTTAATATGGGAATCCAAAATATAATGTTGGGTTAGGTGAGTGATAGAGCACCTCTCTAACATGTGTGAGGCACTGGGTTTAATCCCAGCAACACTTGACACACACACAAATAATAATAATGATAGTAATAAAATAAAAACAAAAGTATATTGTTAGCACTGTGTACTAATAATGTATACCTAAAATTTCAATGCATGTTTCCTTTGGAATTCATTATACTTTAGACAAGTTTTTCCTTCTTGCCTTATCGTCCCCCTCATGCTTAGTATGGTAATTTCTTACAGGGACATTTTTCTGCTGTTCTCCAAAAAGAAGAAAAAGTCACCCCAATTCATGGTAAAGAAGAGACAAGAGAAGTACCTATTATTAGTGCTTCAACTCAGATAATGCTCAAAGGACTTTTTATGGTGCTTGACTACCTTTTTAGGCAAAATAGTAGGTAAGTAGAGATATCTGGTCTATAATGCCCTAATTGATGCTACTGTATACTAATTTGTAATAATTTTAAAGCCAGGCATGGTAGCACACATCTGTAACCCCAACAACTTGGGAAGTGGAGGCAGGAGGATCACAAGTTGGAATCTAGATCTGGTGAAAGGTAGTGAGACTGTCTCAAAAACAGAATACAAACAAAAGGGCCTGGAATGCTTAAGTGCTTGAGGCCCTGAGTTCAATCCCCAGTACTGCAGAAAACAGAAGGAGAATGAGAAGCAAGTGTTATAGATACTATATTTGCTCTTATTGGTACAAACTCAGATCAATTGAAATTAGTTTTATTTATTACAGAAAATGAATTTTGAAATCAGTAAGTAAATACAATTAATTAATTTATCTTTAAATTTAGGGTCCTCCAGTCCTAAAATTAAGCATCTACATTTTCTTTTAAATATAATTTGGATATGTGTCTACCAGTATCAAAGTCACTTTCCTGTACAGTCTGAAGTGTTTATTTAATGAATTGTGAAAAAGGAACTCCTACTTTATCACTTGTCAAGTTATAGTACCACCTACTTCCAGGATTTTTTAAAGTGTTTCTTTAATTGTTTCAAAATATACATAAAACTTGCCAATTTAACTGTTTTTAGGTATACAGTTCAGTGCCACAAGGTACACTCACATGTGTAGTCATCACACTGTTCACTTCAGAAATTTTTCATCATTATGAGCAGGAATGATACCTATGATAATTATTCCCTCAACTTCCTCACTACAATTCCTAGAACCTCTATTCTACCTTTATCTTATGAATTTGCTCTTTCTAGGAATTTCTTGTAAGAGCAGTCATTCCATATTTATCCTTTTGTATCTGGCTTATTTCACATCACTTAGGTAATGTTTTTAGAGTTCATCTATATACAGCATATATCAGAATTTCATTTCTTTTTTATGATTGAATAATACTGTTTGGTTATGATGGCTCACCCCTGTAATCCTACCTACTTAAGAGGTGGAGATCATGAAGGTCATGATTTGAGGCAGCACTGGTAAAAAGTTCAGGAAATCTCATCTTGACCAATAGCTGGGTGTAGAGGCATGCACCTTCTGTCATTTCAGCTACAAGGGAAGCATAAATATGTGGATCATGCTTCAGGTGGGCCTGGGCAAAAGGAGAGGCCCTATCTCAAAACTAACTAAAGCAAAAAGCACTGGAGGTGTGGCTCAAGTGGTAGAGCACCTGCCTAGCAAACATAAGACCCTGAGTTCAAATACCAGAACTTTCCTCCTCTCCCCCAACCCCTGCAAAAAAACAACAACAAAAAAAGCAACCAACCCTTTGTAGTGTATACCACATTTTGTTAATTCATTTTTATGTTGTTGGGCATTTGAGTTCTTTTCTACCTTTTGCCTATTACAGATACTGCTATTGTGAACATTGGTGTACTGTTTAAATTCTTCTTTCAGTTCTTCGGGCTGCACACACATCTGGCAGTGGAATTGCAAGAGGTGGTAATTTAGCTTTTGAAGGAACTGCCATAGTGTTTTCCACAGCAGCTGCACCATTTTAATTCCCGTTAGCTGTGCATGAAGGTTTCTGATTTCTCTATATCCTTGCTAAGGCTTATTATTTTGTGTGTTTTTTTCCTTTGTGTAATAGCCATCCATGCTAATGGTTATCAAGTAACTTGTGGCTGTTAAGCAATATCTTCTTGTTTTTTTTGTTTTTATTTCCTTAATGAGTGAAGATGTTGAGATAGATCTTCTATGGAAAAGTATCTATTTAAGTCTTTTGCCCATTTTTTAATTGGGTTTTTTTTTCCTTTTGCTGAATTGTAGTAGTTTTTCATATAATTTGAATATTAATCCTGTATCAGATATGTGCTTTATAGACATTTCCAACTATTCTGTGAGTTGTCTTTTCACTTTTTTTTTTTTTTGGCTGTCCTGGGGATTGAACCCAGAACCTCATGCATGCTAGGCAAGGGTTCTACCTCTTGAGCCACACCCCCAGCCCTTTTGTTTGTATTTTTCTTTGAACATTCCATCCTCCTGCCTCCACCTCCAGAATACCTGGAATTACAGGCATGTACATCCTGGCTCAGAAAACTTTAATTATTGAGATCTATTTACTTTTTTGTTAATGTTGCTTGTACTTTTAGGGTCATATGCAAGAAGTCATGGCCAAATCCGATGTCATAGAGTTTCCCCTTTTTTTCTTTTAGAATTTTATAGCTTTTGGTTCCTAGCATTTTTATAAAATTCCCTCCACAGTTGAGTCCCTGACTTGTACTTTGAGATCTAAATTCTCTAGGGGTGAAATTAACAATGAAATATTATAATGAGGACATAGTCTAGAATACCACATTTTATTCTTGGTAAGCCTAGGCATTTCATAGACTCTTATTACTTCTTACTAAAAGAAGTTATAAACTGGATGGCATTACATACTCACTAGCTCAGTACCTTCATTAAAAGAAGATGAAGACTGAGACCCAAATTTTAAAGGGTTTTAAAATTTTTATAATTAGTTTCTAATACTTTTTAAACTTTCATTACAAATTATCTATGTTCTCATGCAGTTAAAAAGTGTAACTTGTGGAGGGGGTGATTTCAGGTATGATATATTTGATATATTGTAAGAGCTTTTGTAAATGCCACAGTATACCTCTACCCAGCACAACAATAAAATAAGTAAAATGTATTTCACAGGGGAAAAAAATATATAACTTGCCTTGTAGTTTCTTTAACCATATGCTGTTTTCTGTTTTGTAACTAATTATGCAGTATAGAGTTCAAAGAGCTTGGAATTGGGAGTTAGAAAGCTCGAATGTTAATTCTGGGTTCACCCATGGTTTATGTAATGTTTGAAGATGGGATTGGGATATGGCTGATGAGGGTTAGCTGGTTAGATTATAAGAATTGGTTGATCCTGTGATTTGATAGCTTAACTTACATCAGAATTACTGAATTTGATGGTGAGGAGATTGTTACTTTTGAGTGGTAAGGTATGACTCTCAATTGAGTTTTAATAAAGTCAGTTTTTATGTATGTAGCTGGGTCGTTACATGTTTTATAATGTTTTGCCATTGAATTAGTATTGTCTTTGCATTTAGATTTGCAGATGATTATAAAATTGCTATTCAACAGACTTACTCCTGGACAAATCAGATTGAAATTTCAGATAAAAATGGGTTCTTTGCGCTACCAAAAAATAAGAAACGTTCACGACAGAAAATTGCAGTTCATGTCCTAAACTTTTGGTGCTTAAATCCAGCTGTGGTAAGCTTCTCATGTTGTAAATGAGAGTTTTGCCTTCTTGGTCAATACCAATAAGTAAATGAGTGTGTTTGACTCTTTTAAAGATGATTTTATGTATCTAATGTTGTTTCCTTTTAGGCCTTTTCAGATATTAATGGCAAAGTTCGGACAATTGTTTTGACATCTGGTACATTATCACCAATGAAATCTTTTTCATCAGAGCTTGGTGTTACATTTACTATCCAATTAGAGGCTAACCATGTCATTAATAACTCACAGGTTAGTTTTTCCTTGTTGGTTTTTGAGGCTCTTGATCTTTTTACCTCAATATAATTCTATATAACAAATTGGAAGGTATCTGAAATACCAGCAAACAAACCCTCATATGATATTCATTTTAGTTTTTAGAAGCAAAGAAAAACTGTCAGCTACTTAGTTTTGTCAACAAAAGGAAATACTAATTAATAGTATTTCATCAGTCCAGTTTCTTTGGATACCAAGACTGTACTACAGATTCTTCATTTGAACAAGTTTTAGTGTTTCTGTGAACTCTAAAAGCAAAAGAAAATTTTGACTACTGGAGTCCCTGTTGTATAATTATTTTTTCTCTTTTCTATTAGAATATAGTGTATCTTTTTTCTTCTTTTTTATTTCTCTTTTTTTCTCTGTACTTAGATTATTAACCTGAAATAGTTCTTTCACAAGTATAGTCATTTAATACTTTATTTTGAAAAATAATATCTTATAAATGTTATTTTAAATTTCCTGGAAATATTTGAATTACTATTTTTCATTATGCCTCCTGTTCCTTTTTAAGAAGTAATTTGTAGTAGTTAGCTACATGTTTAACATCACCTGTGTGCCTAACACAATTCTGGTTCTTTATATAACTGAGCATATTTTGGGTTCTCACAATTGCTTGGGAGCAACTACTGACATTTAGAAGTTGAGGGCTCAGAGTGCTTAGCTTTTATATAATTAAGAAATTCCTTTCCAAAATGCTAGAGTGCTTCCTGTTGAGAAACATTACTGTAAACAATAGTAAGAATACAGGTTCCATATTTTCAAGTTGCCCTCTTTAGAGGCACAAGTAAATATAGGAGTTAGTAAATTCAGCATATTTTATAAGATTATTCTTGTATGCTGTCATTAATTATGTCCTTAACCTAGTGTACAAAGTCTGTTTAACTTGTAATATCACTGAATTATAACGCTAATTGTTCAACTGAACAGTGTTATACTGTAACATCCTCCAACTTAAGAAGTACTTCTTAATTTAAATTGTGGTAAAATATAGCATAAAATTTACCGTCTTACCATTTTTAAGAGTAAGACTCAGTCTTGCTAAGTATACCCATATTGTTGCATAGCCAGTCAGTCTCAAGAACATTTTCATCTTGCAAAATTGTGACTCTATTCCCATTAAACAACTTTCCATTTCCCCTCTCTAGTAGTCCCTGGTAAACACCATTCTACTTTCTTTTTATAGGACTTTGACTACTCTAGATAGTTCTTATTAGTGGAATCATAAGGTATTTGTCTTTTTCTGACTGACTTATTTTACTTAGCATAATGTCCTCAAAGTTTGTCCATATGATAGATAATTTCCTCAAGGTTCATCTCTTGTAGCATGGATCAGAATTTTCTTTTTAAGGCTGACTAATATCCCCTGTATGTATATGGCACATTTTGCTTATCCATTCATTCATTGATTCCCTCAACCTTTTATCTTGGAATATTATAAACTTCAGAAAAGTTGAAATAATAGTATTAATATAGTGAATATCTTTATATACTTCACCTAGATTTATCAGTTGTTAACATTTTGTTTGGTTCCCCATGGATCTAGATGGAGAGGTAAAATATTGCTCATTTTTGGATAAATTGTTCAAATATAATTTGTAGACCTTATGACAGTTTGCCCTTAAATGTTTAGCATATATCGTCTAAGAACAAGTACATTATCCTTTGTAATTAATTATTATTATTTTTTTTTTAGCATTGCTGAAAATCAAACCCATGGCCTTATGCATGCTAGGCAGGTACTCTACAACTTAGCAACATCCCCAGCTTTATAAGTACCTTATCCTACATGACCACAGTACTGTGAAAACATCCAAGCAATTTAATGTTGATACGATACAGTCAATATTCATATTTTCCAGTTGTTTCTGCTGAATTTCTGTTGAATTTGTTGTTGTTTTATCTTCTTTTCATTTAAATGAAAGTACTCTGAACTAAGTATTATTTTTCCTACCTTGTTTAGGCATAGTTCTAACACTTACATATTGATATTCTAGGTTTGGGTTGGTACCATTGGTTCAGGCCCTAAGGGTCGGACTCTCTGTGCTACCTTTCAGCACACTGAAACATTTGAATTCCAGGATGAAGTGGGAGCGCTTTTATTATCTGTGTGCCAGACTGTGGGCCAAGGAATTTTGTGTTTTTTACCATCTTACAAGGTAAGGGAATATTTATTGTTTCTCTTAACTTTAAAAAGTCATGTAGAAATACCATGATAAACTTTCTATAATGAGAAATAGTAAGGTAACTATAGTTTTCTGAGCATTATATGTCATATTCTTATTTATTAAGATACTACCCAGTTGTTCTACTGCTGTTTTACTTACAAGTCTTAACATGGTTGAGGAAATAGTGATAAGACCTTTTAGCTTTGTTAAACAAAATGTTAGTTATTAGAGGACTGATTATATGTTTATGTGATTTTTATTCTTAGAAGCAACATAGTTTTTTCATAGTTGAAGGGAAGACTAGTGTACTTTTTCACTTTCATAAATTATACTTTTGAATATTTCAGTAAAGCAAATCTAAGCCACATGTTCTTTTTGCCCATTATTTTGCTTCATGCATCTGACTAAAAGAGAGTTTTTGGCTTGTTTTTAGAGTCACTCTGATTTTTAATAATTTTTTAGGTGAAATTAAATTTATGTTGTACATTTCAGACCTCATTATTGAAAACATTGAAACTACAAATAATCTCTGAGAGTAATATCACATTTTATCAAAACATGTTGCATTTCAATATGGAGAAATGGAAATTACTTCTCAAGATTATTTTAGCTATGTTGAGTTTTGAGATTCCATATGCAATTTTGGATGAGTTTTACTTTTGACAGTATTACCATCCTAACAATAGGGAGTCTTCTGATTGGAGATTTAATTCAGTGGTAGAGCACTTGGCCTTATATGTGCAATGCTGTGGGTTCAGTCTCTACCACTGGGGGAAAAAGTCTTCCAAACCATGAAATGGAATGTCTTTCCTTTTAATTATGACATTTCTTTTAGCAGTGTTTAATAGTTTTTATTGCACAAGTCTTTTGAATCCTTGGTTAAGTTTATTCCTAAGTATTTTATCCTTTTTGATGTTATTGTGAATGGGATCATTTTCTTAATTTCCCTTTCAGGTTGTTTATTGCAACTGATTTTTCTGTAGTGATTTTTTATTCTGAAGCTTTGCTGAATTTCTCTTAAAGGTGGTATGTATGTGATGTTTTGAGGGTTTTTTGTTTTGTTTTTCCTTTTTTGGTAGTACTAGGGTTTAGTTTAGGGTTTGAACTCAGAGCTTCTCCCTTGTTAGGCAGACACTACCACTTGAGCCATGCCTCTAGCCTTGGACTTTCTTAAATACATAAAATCATGTTATCTGTGAACAGAGATAATTTTACTTCTTCCTTTATAATCTGGATACCTTTTCATTCTTTTTCTTGTCTTACTACTTGTCTGGAACTACTATGTTGAGTAGAAGTGGTGAAAACTGGCATTGATCTTGTCTTCTTGATATTTAGGGGACACTTTCTTATCTATACTGTCTTTCTTCTATGTTTGTTTACTGTGTTTCATTTTGTGATGCTTGGGATCGATCACAGGGCTTTGTGCAAACCATTCAGATACATCCCCAGGCCTACATCATTTCTCTTTTAATCTTCAGTCTTTAGATCTAATATGGGTCCCTTGTACTTATTCTGTAGGTTTTTTTTGTTTAATCCTGTCAGTGTCCACTTTTTTGTTGAAGAGTTTATTACATGTATATTTAAAGCTATTACCAATAAGAAAGGACTCTGTCATTTTTCTATTTGCTTTCTTTATGTATTAGCTTTCCCCTACCACTTGTTCCATTATTGCTTCTTTTTTTGTTCAGCATTTTTGTAGTAATGAGTTGTGATTTCCTTCTCATTTTATTTTGTGTACATCCTACAGATATTTCTTTGTTGTTGCCATAAGGATTGTAGATATTATTTTAAGATTATAGTAATCTCATTTGAGTCAATACAACCTAACTTCAATTATATACAAAACTATACTACTAAACAGCTCTCCTGTGTATCTTTTTGTTGCTGATATTATAGATTTCTTCTATGTATGTTATATACCCAGAAACATAGGTTTGATAGATTATATTATATATTGGATATATTACATACCAATAACATAGATTTAAATCCTGTAGAAAATTTCAAAATGGAGTTATAAACCAAAATTACAATGAACTGTAATATTTGCTCATGTACTTACCTTTACTAGTAATCTTCATGTATTTCTAGTGATTCAAGTTACTGTCTAGAATCCTTTAATTAAAAAAAATGATTCCTTTTAGCATTTCTTATAGAGCAGATTTAAGATAATGAGTTTGCTCAGCTTTTCTGGGTGTATCATAGCTTCATTTTCAAATGACAGTTTTGCCAGATAGAGAATTCTCAGTTCACAGTTTTTCCCTTAGCACTTTAAATACATCACCTGTCTGCTTGCTGGCCTCCGAACTTTCTGATGAGAAATTGGCTGATGATCTTACTGAAGATCCTTTATGATAAGCTTCTTTTTTCTTGCTGATTTCAAGAGTCTCTTTGCCTTTGTACAGTTTAATTATGTGTCATGGTTTGGTTTGCTTTGGATTTATCCAAAACAAATTAGCTTCCTAATTTGTAGATTTATGACTTTCTTCAAATTTGGGAAGTTCACAGCCATTTTTTCTTAAAATATCTTGAGTAAAAATGGAAACAAAATATCATTTATAAAATTCAGCTAAAGTTGTGCTTAGATAGAAATTTATCTTTTAATGCTTATTAGGAACAATATAAAACTATGATCTTTGCTTATACCTTAGGAATCTAGAAAAAGAAATGGAAAGTAAATACAAAATAAGTAGAGGGTAGAAGGAAGGACATAATAGAGATAAAAATAAAATAGAAAACTGTCACATAATAGAAATTCATTAATGAAACCAAGAATTATTCTCATTGTGAAAATGTATTAATAAAATTAAGTCTAGCCAATACAGAGAAGGCCTAATAATACCACAAATTAAAAGGGAACATCTTTATAGATCCAGTTGACACTATAAATATAATAAAGAGATACTTAAAAAACCTGTATGCTCAGCATTTAAACAACTTATATGAAATAAATAAATTCCCTGAAAGTCACAGATAATCAAAATTGACTCAAAAAGAATTAATTCAAATAACATATCGATTGAGCAAGTTGAAGTAGTAATTACAATCCTTCAACAAAGAAATGTGTAGGCTCATTTGCCCTCATTGGTGAATTCTACCAAGAAAAACTACCAATCCTACACAAACTGAGACAGTAGGGGAAGAGGAAGTACTTCCTACATCATCAGACAAAGCATATTTCTGGTACCAAATCCAAACAAGAGCATTATAAGAAAACAAAATTATAAGGGTTGGGGTATGGCTAATTGTTTAACTGTTAGAGTGTGTGCCTACCAAGCATGAGACCCTGACTTCAAATCCCAGTACTACCACTAAAAAAAAAAAAAAAAAAGAAGAAGAAAAATTACAAACCAAAATGTAAGTCCAAAAATGATTACCAAAAACCAAGTCAGTTTGATCCATTAATATATGAAAAGGATCGTACATCATAACCCAGTGAATTTATCTCAAGTCAGTATTAGTTTTATTTTCAAAAGTCAATCAGTATAATTCACCAAATCAATGGAATAAAGGGGAAAAGTACATATTCACCTTTAAAAATACAGAGAAAATATTTTACATAGTTTAAATTTTTAGTAAAGAATAATCTGATAAAATGCTCTTATCAAAAACACAACATCCTAACCATCGTTAGACTGAAAGCTTTTTTGCCTTCTTTCAGAAATACGATACAGATGTCCATTCTCACTACTTTTGTTCAACATTGTACTATATCCAATTCAGTAAGGAAGAAAAATAATTGCAAGATACAAAGATTTGGAAAGAAGTAAAATTGGTTTTACTTCAGACATCATTTTTGTATAGTTAGAAAATTCTAAGAAATTTATTAAAAGCTGTTAGAATTAATAGCTGAACATAGTAAGCTCTGAGTCTATAGGAGGTCAGTAAATACAGATTGTATGTCTATAATAGTAATAAACAAGTAGGAAATAAAAATAATGATAGTTAGAATAGCATAAAAACATAAAATTTGTCTATGGTATGCATGACCTGAACACTGAAATGTACAAAATGTTGATTAAAATCTACATGTAAGCCAGGTGCCAGTGGCTCACATCTGTAATCCTAACTACTTGAGAGGCCAAGAGTGTGAGGATCATGATTTGAGGCCAGCCAGGGCACATAGCTCTTGAGCTCCCATCTGCGCATAATAACTAGAGCAAAATGGACTGGTGTTGTAAGTCAAGCAATAGAGCACCTGCTACTTGGCAAGTGTGAAGTCCTGAGTTTAAATCCCAGTCACACCAAAAAAAAAAAAAAAAAAGTCTACAAATAAAACCTATATAAATACAGAGAATTATGTTCATAAGTCTGTTTTGTTAAAGTGTCTGTTCTGAACTTGATATGTATGTTTAAACCAATCTCGGTAAAAATTTTGTTTCTGATTTTGATTTTGTTGTTTTTGGCAATACTGGGTTTTGAACTTAGTGCTTCATACTTGCTAGGTGTATACTACTTGAATCATGCCTCCTGCCCTTACTTTTAAAGAACTTGACATGTTGATTTTTTAATTCACATAAAATGTAATTGACATAGATTATAAAAGAAATTTAGAAAAAATAAATAAGAACAAAGCTGGAGGACTTAAAAACCTTGTTTCAGCATTTACCATTTTAGCATAGTAATCAAGACAATTGGGTATGGACCAAAGCATAGGCATATACAACAATGGAACAAGATAGAGTCTGGAAACTGATTTGTGTATCTGTGGTCAATAGGCTGTTGACAAGGTGCTGCAGTAGTTTGATGGAGAATTGGCAGTCTTTTCAAGAAATGTTGCATGAAGCACTTGTATATCCATATGGGCTAAGTACTTCATAGCCTGATATAAAATTACTAATTGATCACAAACCTAAATATAAAAGCTAAAACTGTAAAGGTTCCACAGGATACTTAGAAAGAAGGATATATTTTGACTTTTGTTTTAGAGAAGGTACAAATAGCATAAGCTTTTAAAGAAAGGAGTTATAAAATAGACTTGTCCAAAATCA